CCCCCCCCCGCGGACTTGGCCAAAAGCAAAGCTTGGGAATTTTAGGCCACACGAATGCGTTCTAGCTGAGGAATCAAGGCATCGAAAACACCGACGAGCTCGGTGTACAGCTCGATCTGTCCATCCGCATGCGTCGCCAGCACGTCCTTCAACTCGAGCTGCTTGGCCTGGTGGAAGATTTGGTGTTCGCGCATCACCTGCGCATTGAACGCATGGCTGGTATCATGTGCACTCGTCACCGCATCACCCAACTCACCAATCTTCCCATCCAGCCTCTGCATCCTCCCCACCCTCGTACGTTCCTCATCCACCCCACGAAGATGATCCACCTTATCCTTGATATATCCACTAATACCCGCACCGCGAACACCACCATGTCCGTGTCCAGCACCGTACGGTGACGATAGCGACGCGAGACGGTCGCGCTCAGAGACGACACCGGAGAGGTAGTCGGTAAGCTCTTCAAAGTCCACCTGCTTGGTATCGCGCAGTTTGAGCACCGACTTGTGCGCACGTGCGTAGGCGAGCATCGCCTGCATCTGCCACAACATCGAATCCGTCGATTTCGCAGACTGCACAAACCACCGCAAAACATCAGCTTCCAGCACACCTCGTCTTCAAAAAGCCAAGCGCGACAACTTACAGTCGCACGCTCGAGTCGAGCCACCTCCAGCATGGCCGCTGCGAACTTGTTGAGCGGCTCCGTGATGCCGCTCTCGAGGTAGCCGAGTCCTTCGATGCTGGTGGCAAGATCCTCGTAGTCGGTCGAAAGGTCTTCGAGTGCAGTGCCGAGTTGCGGGGCATAGAGGTCGCCAAAGGGCAGGGCTAAAGAGGGTCAGCGGTGCGGCTTGGGGGCGTCAGATGCATGAGCTCAAATGCGACACGATCATCGCACCATGGCGGCGGGGGCGGAAGAAGCGCTGATACTCACCAGCTATACGGTTGCGGTTACGCGAGAGGACGCGCTCGGTGCCTGCCAGACCTTCCTCGAGCTTGTCGATGCTCTCGCGGATCTCCTCGAAGCGCTGATCGGGTTTGCGCACCTTGCTGAAGGCGTTGAGAAAGTGGTCGCTGATGCTGTCCAGCAGACCTGGTGGGCCGGCGTTTTCGACGTGCGAGCCCGAGACGAGCGCCGAGGTGCCCGAAGCGGCGGCGTTGGTGGCCGAGTGCGACGAGTTGTGCGCATGCATGTCGACATGCCACTCGGAGCTCTCGAGGAAGCTGCGCAGGAGCTGGCTGCGCTGCAGCGTAGGATGGCGACAGATGCGCTCGAGGAAGAGCTGGAGCTCCTGCGTGCGCCGCTCGATGAACTCGGTGCTGAAGCGGTCGCCCGTCAGATACTCGAGCCGATGCTTGTCCGGCAGCGGCGCCACGACGCAGGCGGGGAAATCGCGCTTGAGCCCCTCGCGCAGAAAGGTGAAATCGTTGAAGCGCCGGCGTGTGGCCATGTAGGTGCGCGAAAAGTGCGCCAGGTTGGTCTCGGCGCGGATGCCGTAGCTGATGAAGGCGTCCTTTTGGCCCTCGAGCTCCTTGCGCGGCTCGAGCACCTGCACCATCAGGTAGCCCGCCCAGGTGAGTTCGGATGGATCGTCCGAGGCGAACGGATCGCGCGCAAGGCCAGCGGCAGCAGCGGACGAGGCGGATGTTGTGGACGGACCTGCAGCAGCGTTCGTGGATGAGCTGGGCATTGTGGAGAAGACGGGCTGCGATCCGGTGGCAGCGTCGCGGTTCTCCCACGTGACCGAGGTGAAGGTGTCTTCCTCGGCGTCCATGTTAGCGGCGGCAGAAGCGGGGTGATGTGGAGAGGGATGATGGAGGAGCTCCTGAGCCCGTTGCTGAGCCCGTTGCTGAGTTTTGGATTGGGGTCATGCGATGCGCTCACCAACTGCACCGCCGCCTCTGCTCTGCTGCTCTGCGACGCTCTGCTCTGCTCTGCTCCATCCAGCGATTGCGCACGGATCGCTGCCAGACTCGAGGCGATACAGTTTCGGTCTAACATCCTCTGAATTCCAGCTCAGCCGCGGCTGCACAGCCAAATTCGCACCTCACGCAGCTCAGCCCGGCTGCGCTCCACATGAAAGCGAACTGGCAGCCAACTGGCCTTGAGCCTCCTCGAGCCTTGCCACCCCACAGCCTCCCCTTCTTTGCACGCCACCAAACACTCGCGCAAACATGTCGCTTCCCTACGCTGCCGACGCCGAGACGTCGCTGTCGCCCTCCGAACTGCAGGTGCTCAAGTCGCAGTACGAGACCGAACTCGCCGCCGGCCACGTCACCACCCAGACCAAGTTCAACTATGCCTGGGGACTCGTCAAGAGCAAGCAGCGTGGAGACATGAGCATGGGTGTCGGGCTTTTGACAGGTGAGTCTCGCCCTACTTGCTTGCGCAATGTCACGATAGGGCCCAGGCTGACTTTTTTCTTGTTTGCGGGATGGTGCCAGAAATCTACCGCTCGGACCCACCACGAAGGCGCGAGTGCCTCTACTACCTCTCGCTCGGCCACTACAAGATGGGCAACTACGACGAGGCGCGCCGCTTCAACAGTAAGTCTCGCCACGCACCCTCCAAGTCCCCATTTCATACTTGCTCATATCCCCCTCTTGCATGATGCAGCGCTGCTACTCGAACGCGAACCGGGCAATCTCCAGGCACAGAGCCTCAACCAGCTGATCGAAAAGGGCGTCGCTCGAGGTAAGTTTCAGTCGGCCGCTCCTTTTGGCTTGGATTCACGCACTGACTTTTCGACCGCTCTGCTGGGTGGAACGAATGCAGAGGGCTACCTGGGCATGGCGCTGATCGGGGGTGCGGCAGCAGTGGCCAGTATTGCCGTCGCCGGCCTCATGCGTCGTGGACGCCGCTGACCTTCTCCTCACACCTGTACATTATCTTCGATTCGAGCTACACACTTGCAAAATGCCTGGAAATGCACCGCACGGGGGGGATCTGTGATTGCGCATGTGGGGTGAGAGGTAGGAGGCCTGCCGTGGGGGCGGATTTACGGCCATCGTCTACAAATACAGACGCACTAGGAGCGCCACTGGACGGCAGGGACGGGGGGGATCTTTTGGGATCCCGTCGAGTGGCGGCGGTTCTCGTTGACGTGGACGACGACGGAGCGACGGCTGCGTTTGCTGCTTTTCGAGTTGGTGCGCGACACCATGGCTTCGGTCTCGATCATGCGCGACTTGACCTGGCCCCCCTCGGCTGTCTTTGCGTTCGCCATGGTGCTTGGCGGTGCGACGGGCGCGGTTGGGGCGACGCTTTGCGCCGTCGTGCTGGTTTCGAGTGCGGCGCCGTTCGACTCGCCCGAGTTGACCTTTGTCACTTGCGAAGCGCGCGTCATCCTTCCATCCTGCGCAGCTTCGAGGGGCTTTACGATCGCGCCCGTCCCAAACGAGAACGCCTGGGTTGCCGTCGTGGCTTCGTTGCACGCCTCTTCCGCTGTGGCTCTTTTGGGCGCACTGAATCCGGTATCCAGCTTGGCGCCCTGTGCCACACGGTAGAACCCTTTCTCGCCCTCGGGCCGCTTGCGCTTCCTCCTGCCCGGCGGTAGTTCGTACGGCGAGTTGCTGAACGGCAGCTTCTCCGGCCCAATGATGGGTGGTTCCGCAAACGCATGCATGTAAATCCAGTTCTCCGGATACCTCCTTCCACCCACATTGTTGATGATCAACGCCCACCCGATCACGATGAGCGAACCGATCACGACGATGGGTACAAGCCACCAGTCCAACCGGTGTGTTTCCGGATTGGTCATTGCCAACAACGCGATGGCTGCACCCGGTGGATGGGTGAAGCCCAAAATCTGCATGGCAAAAACAGCGACGCTGACGGATGTAGCTGCAGCGGCCCAGTCGACTCCATAGACGCCCGTGACGCTATAGCTCGTTCCTTGAAAAGCCTTTTGGAGCGCAACCCCAATGACGGCCGAGATGGTGTTACCCAGAAGAATGTTTTTCGGCTGTGCCAGTGGCGTGCGGTATGCAAAGAAGGTCACCACCGCTTCGGTTGCAAACGCGCCGATGACGAGCGGCGCATTGTGCGCACGGTGGAAGGGCGAGCGCGAGACCAGACTCAGCAGCGCAATCACCACCCACGCAGCAATGAGCGAGTGGATCGAATTGACCACCTTGGCCCCGACCTGCTCGCGGTACATCTGCACCAGCTGGATCTCGCCCGTGTCCGGATCGCGGTAGCGTGCAATCTGCCCCGTCTCCCCCGACGGCTCCAACCCAAAGCTGAGAACGCGCCCGCAGATGTAGTGGAAGCGCCGAAAGCCAGGGTCGCTGGGTGTGCGACGTCGTTCTGCCGGAGTGTGCGGGTGGGACAAAGGTCGGTAGCCGATGAAATGGCTGAGTGGATACAGTGCTGCCAGCCACGGATGCGACTCGTCGTCGTGATCGTCATCTGCATCCTCATCCGATCCACTTTTGGGCGGCTTGGGTTTGGCACCTTCGGACGAGGGCGTGTAGAGGTGTGAGCTCGCCTTGTGCGCCGTACTGTCGGTGCTCGGCGAGCCTTGCTGTGCCTGTGGCGGTACAGTCGTCTGGATCTTCGCTTGCCCTCGGGCCGAGTTGCTACGCAAGACACGCTTGGTAGAGCGCACCGCCTTCATCTCTGTCTCGGGCACCTGCGTAGTTGCGGCTGGTGGTGCTGCAGTTGCGCCATCCTCGGCGGAAGCGCGCGATCCATCGCTCGAGATGATCTCGATGAACCGTCCCTCGTGCGCCCTTTCCTGCTGCTGTTGCGCGGTTGTTGTGGGTGGCACCTCGGTGGGGAAGCCCTGCGAGAGCGGTGATACGGGTGTGGCCTCCTCGGGAATCGTGGTGGGTGCGTGGCTCGATACCTCGTCCGCACTGCCCTCCTCGAGCCGCATATCGCCCAATTGCCCGCCTGCGGTGTGTAGGAACTCTACGTCTTAACGTCGGGACGCCTCTAGATCCTCATTGACCTTGTCGATGCAAGCGCAGCCCTGTACGGAGTGTGTAGAGCTTTATGGATGTGGGCATGAAGGACGCCCGAAGCGATGGATCTCGGCCACTTGGGGCGGAGCGGGTATGACAGGACAGGGTCTGCAGCACACATCGAAGCTCTCCAGCGCCAAGGGCAGGCTTGCAGAGTGCCACTTCGATCGAGTCGCCGGGATCGTGGGGTGGGCCAAGCCGCTCATGTCGCGCACTTGGAGATAGATTGAGCCGGCACTGCAGCCGAAGCTGCCGATTATCGTAGTTGGCCCTTTTGCCGAGACCTTTTTTCTTGTGCCAGAAAGCCTCGACTCACGATTGCTAGCTTGCCTCACTCTTCCTTCATCCACGCAGATCCATCCAGCCTTTCCAATGCCGACAATGTAGACAGTGGTGCGCTTGCCATGTCAAAGTACTCATGATTGGGCAGCTGTCTCAAAACCATCGCGTAGCTTCGTCATCTTGCTTCCGCCTGCCGTATTCGGTCAAGAGGGTCTCGGTCGATTTCAATGGAATTCTCCACTTTCCTCCCGCCATCCACTCCACACACAGGCTTACGCTGACAGCCACCCGTGGGCTGTTTGCATGACCGCCTCGTGCATCCACCAACTTGCACTTCCCACCCGATCCATTTCGAGCCCGACCCTTCACCTTGTTCGAACGCGTTCGCCCTGCGCAAGCACTCTCTCAGTCTCGCCGGTAGCACTCCCCTCTTCTGCCTCACAATAGCCTGGCACGGCAAGTGATGAGGGATATGCCGATCGATAGGAGTTGGTATATAGAGCAAAAAGTAGTATACACTAAGGTTAGACGACAGCACTAAAAAGCGCGCTGTGGATTTATCAGCGCAGCTTGGCGAAAGGATTAAAGGCATTGGCCTCGCGACGCTTGTCGAGCTGGGTGCGGTGCGACGTGTTGAGGTCCCAGAAGCGCAGCGTCTCGTCTCCTGCGCCCGTGACGATGGTGTCGCCCGTGGGGCTCATGGAGAGATAGAGCACACGCATCGTGTGGCCCGTGAGCGTCGCAATCTGCTGCATCGACGGATACTTCCACACCTGGATCTGGTTCTGGATCGCGCCGCCCGAGTAGCCGTGCGTGCTGATCAGCTCGTTGGCCGTCTTGCTCCACATCAGATTGCACACCTGGCTGCCCGTGTCCACCTCGTTGAGCATCTGGCCCGTACTCGCGTTCCAGAAGCGGATCTTCATGTCCACCGTACCTCCGCCCGACGCGAGGATGCCCTGCTGGTGCGGGTTCCACGCGATCGCCTTGACCGCCGCCGTGTGCTCCGTGAACCGATGCAGCGGCGTCTCGTTGAGCGCATCCCACACAATCAGCCGATTGTCGTTGCCACCGCTCGCCAGCTGGTTCGTCTCGGTGTTCCACTTGAGCCCACACACCTCCTGACGATGCGCGCGCAGCGTTCGGATGTGCTGGTCGGGCGCACGCACATCACGATGCTGGATCACGCGGTCGCGCGAGCCCGACGTGAGGATCACCTCGTTCCACGCCAGCGCACCCACCCGCTGCGTGTGCCCGCGCATGGTGCGCAGCAGCTTCTGCTTCTCCACGTCCCAGATCTGCACCAGCCCCTTTTGCGTGCCGATCGCAAGGTGATTGCCCGAATTCGCCCAGTTGAGGCCCGTCACCACGTCGTTGCTGTACTCCTTGAGATCGCACAGCTTGGTCACCGACGAGTTGTCCGCCGACCACAGATACACGCACGTGCCCAGCCCGACGCCCAGCACGTTCTTGCTCGACCAATCCACGAGGTTGAGGTAGAAGTCGTTGGCGAGGTCCGGCGCGTCGAGCACCTTGTAAGGCACCTTGCTCAGCACGCGCGGCGGCTTCCGCGGACTGAGCAGCAGGCTGCGACTCTCCGCCTTGACCGGCGACAGGCTGTACGCCCGATGATTGGGCGAGTCGAGCGTCTCGAGCGAGTGCGAGGCCAGTCCACCGAAAAGCCCCCCGGTGCGTGGCGCAGCGCCACCGAGCTCGTCGTCGGCGATGCCAAAGTCCACCACTCGGCCCATGCCGGACCCGCTGCGGCCGGGAGTGCGGCTGCGCGAGGGGCTGTAGCTGAAAAGGTTCCGCTTGGTCGGCGTTGCTGGCGAGTTGAGGCCAGTGTGACTCGAATGGCGTGTTGCTGAAGAGCCGCCACTCGTATGCACCGACGACGACGAGCTGGATGCAAAGTTGGTAAAGGCACTTGCGCGGTTGCCTCTGCTGGGCGACGTGCTGAGCCCTGCGTCCGCTCCGAACAGCTCGGACGAGAGCAGCGACGAGAAGGCCTGGTTGGCCTCCTCTCGTTGTGCGTCGGTGTCGATGGCGACCTTGCGCTTGTGACGGTGCGGTGTGGGTGGATCGTCGCCGATGAGCTGGTAGGCGGTGTGCAGGTCGGTTCCGTCGCGCTGTGGGATGTATCGATCGACGATGCTGCCGGCGAGGTGCTTCTTGCTTGGTGATGACGGCTTCATGCTAGATGACGCCGACAATGACGAGCGCGACGATTCTCCGCGCGAGACGCCCGACAGGTTGGTGAGGCTGGATGATCGATTTGTACTCGATCGTTTCGCCGCCGCAGCCCTGGACGAGCCTGGTATTGAGATGGGGGATGTGGAGAAGCTCGAGCTGGACCCGGCGAGCAGGCGGTCGGTTGTGGCGCCGAGCAGGCTGTCCGTGGTTCGGCTCTCGCGCTTCGAGGATGCAGGCGTGGAGCCGCCGGAGGATTGGCTACGCAGCCGCCGACCGAACTCGGTGTTGTACATGGCGGGACACGGACCGGTCGGACGATGCCGGCGCGCTTTCCTGACAAGGGGCTCCCACGCTCAGTCTCGGCTGTTGCAAGCGTGCCGGGTCTGTTGTGTCTAGATGCTCCGATGGTGGCGGGGCTCGGGCGGTGAAGCGGGCGATTTGCGAACCAGAACTCGATGAGCTTCAGCCGGAAAGCTTCTGATCTGCGGTGGGATGGGCTGACCGCGCCGACCAGGATGGCCAGTGCTGCAGGTGTCCGTTTCCGGTTATGCAAGCGAGTTGCCTCGGTGCAGCTGGTGGAGCTGTTCGGTGCTGTTTACAGTCAGCTGCGGACTGTGCATGCGAGAGTCGATGTTCGTGTTGATGGCAGGTTCCTGTCTGCTGAGCGACGCCCGGCTGCTGTCGAGGGTTATGCAGCCGAAAGTGGAGGGCGGCTTGTCGACAAGTTGATGGTTGTCGGGGCTATGTATGCAAGGTGGCGGCGGTCTCTGCGTCGTGCGAGATCAACTCTGCGGGTGGATGTCGAAATAGGGCGGCGTATTGGACGGGAACAGGATGTGGATGGTGGAGATCAGCGAGTAGGCAGCCTGATGGCGGATGGCGGATGGTGATGGCGACCGGGGGCTGAGCTCTTGGAGGCTGTTGGGTCTGCAGCCGCCCCTCTGCCTGCCTGCCTCGCTCGGTGCTGTCCGTTTGCCGGGGCGAGCTCATCGGGCCCACGATGCGCGCGGCTGCCTGATCCCTCGCCTCGCCACGCCTTCGACTCGTTGGCTCTTCAAAGTCGGTGTTTACGCGTGAATTCAAGCTCGACGTCCCGATCTGAAATCCAAATTTTTAGTCGACTTCGAAATTTGCGCCCCGGTGTTTGTAGCCCGATGCGGTAGCGTGTTCCGCTGCCCCCCTCGGCACAGCAACTCTCTTTGCACGGCTTCACCTATATCACGCATTCAGTCCCTCTTCAATGGCGATCAGAACGATGGGGTAAGCGACAAGCAATCAGCGCTCTCTTGTGTGCTCAATGAGTGCGGAAGTCAAGCTGCTGACGAGTGTCTGCTGTCCCTTTTTAAATTTTTGTTTTGGATCCTCCATTTGGGTGTCGATTATTGCGGTCGTTGGTAAAATTGCTTGGCCAGTGCTCGTCAACTCACCAACATCCGATCTGTCGGCCTTCGACTGAGCGCGAGAATGACTCTGCGTAATGTCCGTTGCAAGCACATATCGAAGCTCGGAGATGATACGAGGCAAGCCGGCATCGATGGGTACGACCGACGGTTGACCCAGAGGATCGACGTGAAGGCGGGCGGAGAATTGAAGCTCGCCTGCGGTGCCAAGGCGAGAGGCGAGTGTAAACACGGACGCGGAGCGAGGCGCGTCCGGCCAGTGTGCCAAGGCTTCCAGGGCGCCGTGGCCGCGCGAGCTCTGTTTGGCCAGCGACACCTCCGCGCGCAGACGGCTGCAGGCTTCTGCGCCTGGGTCCACCCATCGAAGCCCAGGCTGCGCGCACGCCTGCTCAACGCCTGCTCAAATCGCCAAATCATGCGTCCCTTTTTTCCACACACAACACAGGCGAACTGGCCAATTCGAGTGAAAAATAGCGGAAAATCCCAGAAAAGGAAAATGTCGAATTGAGCCCTTCCGGCTGCCGCGCCTGACTCCGACGAGGCAAGAGGCAGATCGCTTCACGTCAAGAAAGGATCAATCAACAAATTCGGCAAAGCGGCGCCTGCTACCACGCGCGCCGCTGCCACTGCCACCTCGGTCCTTCAAGCATTCTCTATGCTTTGCTCTAGTCGTTCCCAGTCGCATCCCGGCCATAGAGTTTGCAGAGCTGTGGAGGAGCTATAGAGCCGCTTGAAACATCGCGATGAACAATTACAGCGGAGAGGATTAGAATTCGCGGCCAGGACGTTCACGCTGAAAGGGGATCAACGCGCTGGCGCGCCAGCAAAGCGTGAAGCTCAGCAGCGACGGCGTAGCCGCCGACAAAGAGGTCTTTCTGAGCCAGAGACGCAGCTCTTCGACTGCAGACGGACGCTTTCTTATGCTGCGACTTTTGCGCCGTGACGAGCAACGAGATGGCCGAAATGGGCGTAAAGGTGTAGGCGGGGTGGAAGCAAGACGGGCCGTTTCCGAGGCCTGCATGCGGTCTCAGAACGCTTCGTGACCGACCCGGCTTTAATATCTTATCGGCCGAGGCTGCCTTTCGCGCTCCTTCCTGCGCAGAAAGGATGGATAGCATCGTTGGTGTCTGCGATTCGATCCGACGACCTGTTAGGTCCAACTGTCAGGGGCTCGAGAGGGTCCATCGCACGCGACTCAGAGCTTTGATCCGTGTCACGGAGTTTTTTTCCCGTCTCTTGCGGACCCCGCCTTTTTTCCCTCTCACAACCGGGCCAGCGTGCGCCACGCCAAAGCCTGCCTGAAAAAAATTAAATAAAATTGCTGCGACACTGATGCAGTGCGTCCAGGTTCGACTTTGGTTGGATCTAAGGGCGGCCGCACGCCGGTGTCAGCTGCTCGCGCTGCACAGATGCGGCACCCATGCTTGCCGATCCAAGCGCACCCGCCGAATGGATGCGCGGTGCCTGCGCCGAGACTGCGCTGCCGCCCTCCTGCCCGTATCGGCCAATCCTCCGCAGAATCGTGCCGCCCTCTGCTGAATCCTTGCCTGGGACGTCGTCTGCGCCGCCCCTTCCGCAAGAGGTCGGAAGATGTCATCGGCTCTTCAGTAGCAGACATGCGCAGTCAGACAAGACGTCGAACCGGTGCTGGTGCCACCTGGTTGGGCTGGAGAGGCAGCGGCGTGGATGTTGGGCGACGCGCCCGCCTGGACTTTGAGAAGCTCGAGCTCGACAACGACGGCCTCCAGCACTTGCTACGGCGCTGCAGAGAGGCGGCCATCTCGCGCTCGATCGCGCTAAGGCGGGTCTATACAGAGTTGAGCCCACGACATGACTGAGCTCTCCTTTGTGGCGACTTTGCGTTTGAAATACACCCGTGTGATGCGCGTCCTAGCCACGCTGCGCGGACCGCTTTCGACCCGGGCAAAGTCGAGCGAGAGCTTGGACCAGCCTGCTGGCACCAGTTGCGTCGGTCTGCTGAGCGCATGTTCAC